TAAAAAAAAAAAAAAACCCCCCGGAATCAATTTTGCCTTCCATGTTGTAAAACCTTGCCTGTGATATCTTTAGCGTCTGTCATAATTATTACGAATACCGCGATACTTTTACAGTGATAAAACAGCGTGATAGAAGTGATGACGTTAGAGTTATCAATGATATTTTTAATGACGTTTCACCTCAATGAACCACTTGATCTCGGGCGGCGGCTGTATGTCGGTCTCGCAACCGAGCGTGATATTATGGCCCTGGTTCACTTCGACCTTCTTCGAGGGCCTCACGCGTATAATCCCTTTGTGCGAGTACTGCGGCGGCGTGGATTCTTGACGTGGGTTTTCATCAACCAACAGACGGTGAGTCAAATCTATGGAGTGAGGATTTTGTAGAATGCTGCATTTATAATTGTTGGAGCTGTCCTCGACCGTCGCATTGTAGATCACTAGGCTGTTATTCGGCAATCGTACGATTCTCTTGCCGTCCTCAGTATTTGTCTGCGGTACAGATTCGAAGTACAGATACTTATCGTCCTTCAACCACGCGACCACATAATTGTCTGAAATAATCCGTGATAAACTTATTAAAGAATGGGAGATGATAAATTGAATACAGAGAATTAATTAAAGTTCTTTATTTTACTTCATTTTTTTCTTACAAATATTTCCCTTGTTGTAAAAAAGTCTAACAAAATACTAAACAATTTTTAATTGTTCAAAAACAATTTTGGAAAAGTAGAGAGAGACGCTTTTAAAACGTATCGTACATCATGTTCGTTAGTAAATAATAAAAGACTCCTGTCCAGTAAGAAATGACAATGGAATCGACATCGATTTCTGACTGGGTCAGAAACTATTGTTTTACAAACCTGTATGGACCACTTGACAAGGCAGTATAACGGTGTCTCCAGCTTTTACGCGAATGCTCATTGCATGTGATAAGATTTGCGGAGGCACCTCGGCGGTGCCGGTATTGTCAGCCTCTTCGTCTTCATCTTCTTCATTATTATCATCATCGAAAGGAGTATCATCCTCGTAATTCAGGTCCTCCGTACTCTTAGTCGGTTTACATAAGCCTATAATTAATGAGTACTATATTACCTAAGTGGCCTTCAAGCACAGAAAATCGTAACTTCTAATTCAATAAACTTTCATTAAATTATTTAAGTATGCTTCGTAATTTCAACCCTCATTGTGTATACGTTTTTATTAGTACCTATCAAGTGTACACGAGGGTCGTTAATGTTCAGCGTGTTTTTTTAATGGATTATGTGGTTCAAAAAATATTAAAAAATTCATGTAGTTTTCTCAGCTATTATAGGAAGATTTATACATAATTTTACAAAATCTATTTGTTTAAATATTTTATTTTTGCAAATATATAAATCGAAATGCGAGTGTGATAGTAATATGTTTAAAAATTGGTAACTTGTGAACGAAAATCAATAAAATCTAATCATTAAAAATGGAAAATAAAGTTTAAGGTACATATTTTAATAAAAAAAAATGCCAACAAATTTTTTTAAATTTAAACACTTAAGTTCGGAACATAAAGTCTTACAATTTTGAAACTTATAAAAATAAGCGTTCGAATAAAAAATTGACACTTAACTTTAAAAAGTTCATTTTTTGTTCAAAATATCTATTGTTTCAAAATATATAATCTCATACACTTTCGCAAGTAAAAAAAATACATACGGAATAATTAACATTGTAAGAGAACGAAGAAATCATAACACCTTTTCCGCAGATCAATTTGCATTTTTATTCTAAGATAACACAAATAAAAATTCATTTTCGTTATATATATGTGTGTGTGTGTGTGTGTGTGTTATTTATAAAAATAATAAAGAAATAAGAAAAAAATCACTTTACTTATTTGTTACAAATATGCGTTGCGTGTAAACGGGAGTTATTTGTGTCCGCGTTCGATTTTGAATATCCGCTGCTCAGCGAGAAAATGACGCCTTTCGCGAGAAAATTGCCAAGCTTTCATGCGAGCACCTTCATCCATCCCACAAGTTTTTTAAAAGCAGAGCGGCGCGTCAGTATTCACTTGTTTTAAAAATATTCATAATTAAAAGACCGCCTAGACACAAGCGACCCCCCGTTTACACGGTGAAAGTTAAAATATAACAATAATATTAACCAAGAAAAAATTTTATCGATAACATTTAATCCTGAAAAATTTTTGGTTTGTTGATGTAATAAAAGCAATAAAGCATTTCTCATAAAATTATGTCAATAATAATGGAAAAATTCTGGAGGATCTCTTTCTCTCTCTTTCTCGTGTATCGTAGCTATACACTGAAACAAAAATACTACTACTATTTACTTACAGTAAATAAATATTTATTCTCTGTAAGCAAATAATCCCATTGGTACTATCTAAACAAATATTTATTCAAATTTCGTAAATTTCTTTTCAGTGTACAAAGAGTGTACTAGGAGTATTAAAGCGAAATTAATCCGACTTTTCCAAAGCGACAATTCGATCGCCAAAACCGTTAATTCGCTGGACCGCGAATGCCGGTGGTTGCCCTATAACTCGTTTGCTGACGATCGTCCATCGAAACCGCAAACCATATATCGTGTCCGAAATGGACACGAGGAATGGTGCGCCGGTTGAAATTAGATTTCTGATACACGATTGAACGAGCTTGATTTCGGGTAGGACGGAGCATAAACGAGCGAACACGGTTTTCCAATAATATTTCCCCGAGTATCATCTCTTGTTCAGCAATGATATTGCCGACTTTTCGTCAGTGATGCGAAGCAGAAATCGCGATTAAACCGGCCGAAGAAAGCTCTTTGCGTGTCCGCTATCAGTTTACCTTGTTTTTTTCACAGGTCATGATGTTTCTATACCAAGGCGTATACGTTCCTCAATTTTAACCAATGTAAACCACACCCTATACATAAGGAAAAATGGGTCGAACCTGACTCGCAATCAGGTGAGCTGAAAACATAAACGGTAAGAAGTATCCGGCAATTACGCGAATTAAGATCGTTAGATCGCCGCCCGTCGTGATTGGAATCGATTAGTAAGTGTTGTGGTAAAGTGTGAGATAAATCGTGTTTGAATTGTATTAGAATATTATTAAATTTCGTTACATTTTTTTTATCACTTTCTATTCACATTTCTCTATTAAATTTATAAAATACATATCTGAATTATATTGTTAAAGATAAACTGACAAAAAGCACATTAAATGAGCATTCACATTTTTTAAAGCTTCAATAGAACAAAGATGTTGCAAAAAGTGAAATAAATATATAATGTGTATGATAAAATGTGTATAATTCCACATCAATTAATAAGGCCCAACAGTGTGGGAAGTGTGTATTTAATGATAAATGTGCCCGACATTCGAGCATTTTTGTGCAAAAATCTTGAACTATCTACGTTTATATTGCACATACTTACTTCTCTTTGTATTTTGATATTGAAAAATAGTTGCATATTTTACCTCCGAAAAAATGAATATGAAAAATGTGCGACGATTACGCGGGAAGAAGTCCATGAATCTAGATTAATGGCTGACTGCTACATGCCAGCACCCCTGTGTGCTCCAGTTAGATTGCAGCTCCCATCCCCATAAATCCACCCCGGATTCCCTTAGCTGAGACTATGTCTATACACGTGAATAGGCGCCACGATGTCCCATTGCTCAATCTATGCGTAGGCATCCACGCACTCTTTCACTCGGTCTAATGTTGTGGAACATCGCGTTCATAGTTTATATTCACTTTGCGGTGTGCATCAACGAATATGTATGTCACTCCCGATGTGTCTACCTACTTTATCTTCAAAAAAAAAATCTTGCAATGATCATTCGTAAAATCATTCTCTCTATTCATTCAATTCATTGCGCCGTATATTTATCTATCTGCATGTACGTCATACATTCCTTTCATTTTTAATAAAATAAAAAGTCGCATATTTTATTTAATATAAATATACGAAAAATATATTAATCGTAACACAAACTGAAACAAATATAAATTTTTAATACTGAAAATCAGGCTTTTATATTTTTTATATATTTACTAAAATTGTTATACGTTTATTTCAGCAGTTAATTGTGACTTTGAAATGTTTTTCAGTTTGTTAAACTTGAAGTAGAATATTTAGAACGTAAGCGACCTTAATTGAAAGGTGAGATTGAGAACATTGATCGAAGGAACGGCACAATGATTTAATGAATTGATCAGGTATACGAAATACATTAAGGTGTGGTTTGCGTTGATTGATGGTCTCGTTAAGATTTGCGTTTTTAACCTATAGCCCTCTAATTTATTTTCCATACCTCTTATTTTTAGTGATAGAGTAAGTTTATATTGCTTTGAAAGATGCCTTCATAGGAAATCACAAAATTGCAAAAAATCATGGGCCTTACGAAACTATCTTTCCTAAACCTTATTTTCTCTCTTTGTATTAAAGTAACAAGAGATTAATATAGAAAATAAAATGTGGTATTAAAGAGCGTTTTTAATTAAAAAGAGAAATGTTCTGCGATAATTTTGTCAAAAATAAATCTCAGAAAACACAATTAAAATTATATGGAAATAACGAAAGGCCAAAAAAACGAGCGAATGGTGAAGATGCTGAAATATAATAAGTTCTTATAATAATTTGGATGTTAAAATTACAATAAATCACGCGAAATTAGTTATGTAAATTATTACATAATCAAAATCATGAGAAAATATAAAATCCAGAATCAAATGTAGTCAACATGTAAAATATTCTCTGTAGTATCATCTTTAATAAAATTCTCACGTTCTTGTTAATCCTTAAGTGTCTGTTATATGTTGTATAACATGCATAAATCTCTGAATTTTCGAAGCTGAATTTTTGCAGCTGAATGAAAAGTGTGATCAGCAGTTCTGGCATACATTCGTGTGTCAGAATTAGAGAGTCAAGATTTTTTTATCGTAAATCAATATAGAAACGCAATGACTCATGGAATTGCGAAACAGAAAAGCCCCTGCGTTTTACCGCAGCTAGTCTCATCCGCATTTCCATTTGTGATTCGCGAAAAGTATATAGTGGGCGTGTAAAAACCACAAATCCATTTTGCATCGCCGGCACGTTTTTTCACCGCTGATGTCATATAATGGCAGCATATCCAAAAAAAGGACGGGATAAACCTTGGTCACTTCTGCGGGACACGTCATCCTGTCCTCACGTGCGTTCCAGTAACAATGAGGACGAAACGGGGCTGGGCGCAAACACAGTCTGTCGGGTTTTACCTCGCAAATCGAAGGTGTAGCCGTAAATTATGGACATCGAGAAGCGCGGAAAACTATTCCTCGCGTCGCGAAAATGTCAGGGTGCATCCGCGGTTAGCGATACGAGCAATCCGTGGTTTCGCGCGGGCAGAAATAACTTCCCTTCGTCGACGAGGAGGTGTAGGAGGAGAATCGAGCGGGTTCATTGGTTCGCAGCTCGAAGTTGACTTCCGTTTACAAGATTCCTGGGCAGCTGCAGCCATTCGGATTCGCCGAAAAGGACGCAAAAGACGCAAACAAGAATCCTAAAGTTACAAGACGCAACGAAATGATCTCTCACAATTTCACAGTTTCATACTAAATAAAGATACATTTGTTTAAAGAGAAAAGGAATACCTGAAATATAAACTGACGGATGAAAAATTAACAAGAATCGATAAAGACCTATTTTTTCCTTATTTTAATCTTTCTGTAAACGTAAATACATTTTAGGAAAATTTTTGGTCCGCGAACAATCAGAAAAATCTCGAGACGCACGTGTATTTCGTAATCATTCGTCGGTTACCGAGAAAGACAGAGTCTAGTAGCACATGGGGTGCTAAAGGAAACGTCTTAACGATCTCAGAGTTCCCTTTATCGATCCGCGTCTTTTCCCCTCGCGTTGGCTAACCATGTCTTTGTTTGTTCCGGTAAGTCTCACTTCCCTTCCGTGGGAAAGCGGCACCGAGCATAGAGGGTGGAAGATACGAAATTCTTGACACGCAAGTTCGGATTCCACAAGAGAGGCATTGTTCTTAAGAGAGCTGCTGCTTCGCTTCACCGCCCGGAAGTAGACATTGGC